TTCTAAAGTCTTTATTTTATCTCGGAGTTAAGTCACTATTTGAGACTTGTATTACATGCATTTTCATTTCCAGTAATGATACAACATTTAGTATAAGAAGAATGGTATTGATATCCATAGTTGGAGTAAAAAGTCCCGACTAAACGAAAAAACATATATAAATAATAGTGGTTCTTGATCTTTTGAGCTAGACATAAGAATTTTGTTTGAAACCATACATAGCTTTTTGAAGACGATAAACATGACCTGAGTGATGGTTAAATATACTTGGATGATGTATGTGGTATTGGTGATTTTAGTGTCACCATGTCATTTTAAGTAATTGGAACCAACATGTGAGCTAAAGGGCTTCATGATTTGTACTCTAATATATGTATGGGGTTGTGCGGAGTGCATGCATGTATAAGATCGAATCAGAAGCCAATTCGACGACTAGTCAGGGGTCCGGGGGCAGCGCCCCCGGATCCAGGGTTTACAAAGGGGCAGCGCCCCTTTGGCGGCGTCTAGGGGCAGCGCCTAGAAACGTGTTTAATATATAAACAACTCTTCCTCTACAACACTTCCTAATGAAACCCTAATTGTGTTTAATATATAAATAGCTCTTCCTCTACACAAGAGGGTTACGATCTTAAGCTCTTGTTTCATCAGACTTTCACAGAATCCTCTAGCATATTGGCCTACATCTTCTGTGCCTAGAAACGTAAGTGTCCACTTGGATTATCCTAGGCTGAATTTCTTGTAACACAGACATAGGGTAGAAATATCAGTTCGGAAAGTGATATCACGATCCAAGTTGGTATCCAGATCTCCACCACAAACCTTAAATTTCCCAACATGCGAACTGATATTTCCTGTTTTTGGAGATGGGTGACTCAATCCACGAGATGACCACTAAGTTTGCCAAGTCGGACACGTTTGAAGGCATCGATTTCAAGCGTTTGAAGAAAAATATGCACTTCATGTTGACCACTCTGAAAGTAGCATACGTGCTGACTACTCCAAGACCAGCAGAGCCTGCGGAAGGTGTTGTTGAGACGGCCGAAGAGACAAGAAAGAGACAGAATTGGGACAATGATGACTACATCTGCAAAGTTCACATTCTGAACGGTATGGCTGATGCTTTATTTGATATCCATAGTGAAGCCTTGTGTGCCAAAGAGTTGTGGGACACTCTTGAACTGAAATACATTACTGAGGATGCTTCTAGCAAGAAGTTTCTGGTCTGTGACTTTAATAATTATAAGATGGATGATTCAAGATCTATCACTGAACAGTACAATGAACTCCTTAGCATATACGGTCAGTTTAAACTACACCGTATGAATATGGATGAATCCATTATTGTGTCCACTATCATTGACAAACTGCATCCATCCTGGAAAGACTTCAAACATAACTTGAAACATCAAAATGAGGAACTGTCATTGGTTCAACTTGCTAGTGACATTCGTATTGAAGAATCTCTTCGTGCGAAGGAAAGTGACAAATCTGAAAAACCCAAAGGAAAAGTTGAACCTGGACAACCCTCGGTTCATATGGTTGAAAACAAACCAAGGAACCAAAATCACAAAGGACATGACAAACGTAAGCAGGAACATGTCCAAAGAAACTCCAACAAAAAGAGAAAGGATCTGGTTTGTTGGAGGTGCAATCAAGTTGGGCATTGCAAACGTGATTGTCATGTGAATTTGGGCAACAATTGTGCTGGAAACAGTGGTGCCAATGGGAAAGTGAACGGGTCTTCGGCCCAAGCTAAAGGAGGTCAGTTTTGACTAACTTTGATAATTCTAATCAGAATTATGTTTATTATGTTTCATTTATCCCTGAATCATTCTATGTGCAAGATGATGATGTTGCTTGGTGGATCGACTCCAGAGCAACGAACCATGTATGCAAGGATAAACGAATGTTTGAAACATTAACTCCACTTGAAAATGGGTCGGTGCTGAAAATGGGAGATGATTCTTTTATTCCTATTTGTGGTTTAGGTGTCATGTGTCTTGAATTTACTTCTGGAAAGACAATTAGGTTATTTGATGTTTTGTTTGTTCCCAAGATTCGCAAGAATCTTGTTAGCTCTAGTTGTTTAAATTCTGATGGTTTTAAACAAGTTATTGAGTCGGATAAGTTTGCTTTATCTAAGGGTGGAATGTTTGTTGGCATTAGATATTTAAATAATAGAATGTTTCGTTTAAATATTGTTGACAAATAATTACATATTCAAAATTCTGCATTTGTATCTTCTGCTTCTAATGTTCATAAATCTATGTTTTGGCATGTAAGATTAGGTAATGTCAAATTTAGAAGGATGCATGAGATGTCAAAAGATGGATTAATTCCAGCCTTTGATATGACATCTAATAAATGTAAAACATGCATGCTTACAAAAGTGACATAACAACCATTTCCTAGTGTTACTAGAAATTCAGCTGTTTTGGAACTTGTGCACAGTGACCTGTGTGATTTTCACTCCACTCCTTCTTTAGGAAATAAAAAGTATGTGGTCACTTTTATTGATGACTACACTCGGTTTTTCTATGTGTATTTGTTGCATTCTAAGGATAAAGCCTTAGATAAATTCAAAATATACAAAACCGAGGTGAAATTACAAGTGGGCATTCCGGTTAAATGTCTCAGGACTGATAGTGGAGGTGAATATATGGATCCCATATACTTTCAATCAGTGGGTATCATTCATGAGACCACGACACCTTACACGCCCCAACAGAATGGTATTGCTGAACGCAAAAATCGAGTTTTAAAGGAAATGGTAAACTCGATGTTGTCTTACTCGGGATTGAGTGAAGGATTCTGGGGAGAGGCCATGTTAACAGCCTGCTATCTATTGAATAAGGTTCCAAATAAAAGGAACAAAACAGTCTCATATGAACTTTGATTCAAGAAAAAGCCGAATTTGAGTTATTTTCGGGTTTGGGGATGTCGGGCAGTTGTAAAACTTACCGAGCCCAAAAAGAAATTTTTGGAAGAACGTGGAATTGATTGCATATTCATTGGATATGCTGAACATTCAAAGGCATATAGGTTTTATGTAATAGAACCTAATGATTCGGTTTCAATTAACATTGTTATCGAGTCGCGGGATGCAATTTTTAATGAGATGAGGTTTTCATCGATTCAAAGGCCTAAGAATCTGACTTTGGTGCTAATAAAGGGCAAAATTCTGAAAGTCAAGATGGTGGTATCGTGCAAGAACCACAAGATATTCGTAAAAGCAAAAGAGGCCAAATTGCGAAAAATTTTGGATCCGAATTTCAAGTATACTTGGTGGAAGGTTCGAGGGATGAAATTAGTCTTGAATATTTTCATTGCTATAGTATTGAAGATGATCCTAAGACTTATCAAAAGGCCATGGAGTCTCGTGATAATGCCTTTTGGAAGGAAGCAATTGATGATGAAATGTCATCAATTCTTAAGAACAACACATGGGTGTTGTCCGATTTGCCTCTGGATTCTAAACCTCTTAGTTGCAAATGGATTTTCAAAAAGAAAATGAATGTTAATTATACTATTGAGGTAAAACCTCCCAATTTATTAATCCGGATTAACACTACTTGCTTCCAAAGCAACTAATGACGATCCAACCCTAATGAAACCCAAATCGTGTTAATATAAACAACTCTTCCTCTACAGAAGAGAGTTACGATCTTAAGCTCTCGTTTTCATTAGACTTTCACAGAATCCTCCAGCATATTGGCTCACGTCTTCAGTGTCTAGAAACGTAAGTGTTCGCTTAGATTATCCTAAGTTGAATTTCTTGTAACCCCAGGCATAGGGTAGAAATATCAATTCGGAAAATAATATCACGATCTAAGTTGATATCTTAATCTCCACCACAAATCCTAAATTTCCGAACATGTAGACTTCCTCCGACCTATCCATATTAAACTACAAAGTGGCGTGATATGTGAAACCATAACAAAGGTTCATCTAGTCAATTTCATATTCATAATTGAACCTTTTGGAGAAAATTTATGCTTTGTATATTTTTTTAGAATGGCTATTCATACACCTATCTAACCCTATTTGTAATTTATACATTTTGTCCACCCAAAAAACGAACCCTCGACCTCTTCACCTTTCGAACACTCTTGCTACCGCTAAGATCAAATGGCTTTTAGTAAATACCCCCAAAAAAAAAAAAAAAAAAAAAAACTCATTTTAAACACTATCGGACCAGACTCGACCCGATCTAAACCGACCCGAGGCTTCATTTGCATGGCAGTTAATTTAAACAAATGAATCGGCGGTTTCAAGACTTAGATAAAATACATTTTTTCTTTTTCCAAATAACGATGCAGCCGCCCTTTCCTCCAATTAGAAACCCCGTCTAACCTACGCCGGTTGTGCATACCAATCTGTCTTCCTTATCACCTGCGCCTTATTTTGTTTATTATTTATAGTGACCCAGACAGTCTCTGCTGTTCCGTTCTTGAAGCGAGTCCTCTGCGAATCCACCAATCAACTTATCTTTTCATCCTTCAAGCTTCAGTTCTCATAAATTTGTCATACATAGTGGTTTGTTTTCATGATTATAGCTGGGGTCAGTTTTAATTTGTTGATGAACTAGATCCTACGTACGTACGTATTCTTGCTTCACGATTATTAAGCGTTGCTAGATTTTGTTGGCAAAGCATAAATATATAATATCAGGTTTTACGATGAAGATTCGTGATTTGGATTAAGATCAGAAGCAGTTTCATCACGAATTTTGTGTACTTCTGTTTTGGTTATTTCAAGTGGGAAAATGCGTTCCTTGCTGCGGTTCATCAAGTCGACAACACGTAAAAAATTGCTGCAGAAATACGATCAGTTTTCTTTCACCGGTGCTGTTAACTTCCGACCAAGAGAATAGGATCTGTGCTAGATTTAGAGAGAGAGAGAGAGAGAGAGAGAAAAAAGAGAGTTCGACTTTTTTTTTTTTTTTTTTTTTGGCCCTTTTCGATCTATTTACATAAAACAACCTATAGGTGTTTGTGAAAATGCCGCATAGAACAACTTACATTTTCCCGAGGCAATTTCCCGAAAGCGGTGGGATCACGAATTCGTTATCAATAGCTGAAGATCACGAGAAGAAGAAGATCTCGAAAGAAACTTCAAGTTTCATGATCGAAGGCGATAGCGATAGGGTAACGAATACAGATCATGTGTATGGACATACAGCTTTGCTATCCGGACGGCACCATTTTAATAGCTGTAAAAGCGATCGGAGCCACGGGAAGAAGACCAAACAGCAACTTGCTGCTTTCGTAAATTGGTTGGTGGAGAAAAAAACTTCCGGAGGTGGTTCAGTTTCCGGCTCTGGGCACGTGAGGCTGAACAACAACGACTTGAAACATTTCTCGCCGGTGCCGGTGAAGGATGTTGTCGACGACGACTGGCGTAGTCACGTCTCCGACGCCGATTTTAATCATCCAACCACACAGAAAAAGTATTGGTGATCGGCAGGTTTCTCTGCGGAGGTTATCCAGTGATGCCGCAAGTAGTTACGCGGCGAGTTTGTTCTCCGGCACGATCGCTACGTCGAGTTCTGCTGCTTTTTATAAGGATCCGGTAACGGAGGAGACGATAGGGATGAGAGAGGAGGATGTGATGGTGGGGAACGGTGATGGTGGTGGTGGAGATGATGGTCGTCGGAATCTTGTCCAAAGGTGGCGTGAGAGTTATTACTTGCAACTTACGCTAGCTAAACGGTTAACCCATCAAGCAACCATCGGTGACGAGCCTACACTTATACAAGGACGTGGTGGTGGTGGCGGTCCTGCCGTGACGTGTTATGATGCAGAGTCTGTTTCGTATCGTCTCTGGGTATGATTTTTCTCCTTCTTTACTTCCGGACTTCATTGATTTACCGATGATCTTTGCATTTTAGTTTTAAAAAAAAAAAAAAGTACGCCGGCCGGCGATCGTTAAGTTGACGGCAGTCCGGCATCATCAGCCACCACTTGAAATTAATTTGTCCTATTTTCATCCTAAAATAATTACAACTTTTAATTTAATATCAAGATGATATGATTGCTTTCTAAAATAAAGAGTTTTCTATTGGGAAAAATAATATAAAAAAAGAGAAATTAAATTGCGTCCTACCTTTTATTCTTACAATTATTCCTACCCACTAAAATTATAACAAATCACCATTCAATTTAATTGTATTTGATATATTCCTAATATAATCTTAATGATTTAGTTTAAAAAATATGGAAAGATGATACTTGTCATAATTTTATTGGGTAGGAACATTTGTAGGCATAAAAAGTAGGAATCAATTTAATTTCTCATATAAAAAATCAAAACAAATTGGGTTAGTTTGGTTGTTGATACCAAACCAAATCTTGTATTAATTAATTAGATTTATATATAGTTCTTATCCTAAATATTCATTTATCTTGCTAACAGATTTGAGGGGCCTGTATAATTAGTGAGCTTATATCGGGAACGATCAATTCTATAGTTTTCAATCATTAAAAATGATAATTGTTGGCAAAAAAAATTGCCTACTTCTTTTGTTCTTTTAGTTATGTTCTAAAGTTTTGATACCCTTAACTATATTTTCATTGAAATTTTTATTTGCAAAAGTAATCAATGTTTTGTTTAAAAAAAATTATTTAGATGATGAATTTAAATAGAAGTACTCTACGCATTTGGTTTGGTTTTTGAAATCAAAGTACGTAGCGGGGTGGTGGTTGATGGGTAATCATATATAGCCAAAATTCAATTATTAGACGCATTGTTTAAGCATTAACGTTTGATTCTTAGTTTTTAAATGTGAGAAATTACGTTAATTAAATACAGACCTTGAGATCATGTTAAAAATAGAAGTAATTCATTTCGTGTCCATATTTTTATGTCTTTAGATAACACAATCGTGTATCCTTTATTCTTCTCATTACGTATGAATTGGACCATTTTGTATGGACCTATAAAAAAAATATAGAAATTGCAGAAAACAACAGCCTTGGGTGACGCCCTAAATACATAATTTAAGCTATATATTCATGCAATTTGCAACAACTTTTTTTTTTTTTTTTCTAAAGTGTCTTCCATAATGGTTGCAGTCCTTTTTTGAAAAGTTTCAAGAAAAAACTACCAATTTGATCACTACAATTACATATAACTTAATGATATACATTTACACCTATATATTCTTTTGTAAATTATTTTACACTAGGTGTGAGACCCATGTATTACATGGGTTTAATTAAAAAAACAAATTAATAATTTAAAAAGTTTGAATTTATAAGAAAAATTTGAATTATTAAAATTAATAAGACTTTAATGTATTGAATACATTACATATATAAACTCTTTCTAATAAATATTTTACATATATATTACCTTACACATTAAATATGGAATTTTAATTTAATAAAATGAAAAATACAATAAAATGACAAGTGGAAAATAGAAAATTTAAAAAATCTAAAAAATGTCAAGTGTCCAAATGAATGAGAAGAGGACATGTGACAAAAAAATCTTCATTTATTATAGTAGAAGATGCGTACAACTAGCTCAAACAATTTTCTTGATTATATATCAAATCAAGTATCTTAATATCATTGTGGGGTTTTTTTTTCTATAGACATCTTTCTAGATTGTCTATCAATCATCATCCATCCTTCTTTTCTTCCCATTATATATCCGATGATTTTGATTACTTCATGTGCTTTTATTTCCATTTCATGTATAATTTACACACATGTTGTAAGAATAAACAATATATCATCATTATCAGAATACAAAGGAAACACTAAATGTTGTAAGAATAAACAACTTGTTATAATGTGTGTGTGTTTTTGTATTTCTGCAAAAAGATGCTAATTCAAAAAGTTAATTGATCTTTATCTAGTCATTTAGGATTAGCTGTGGCCGGGGTTCAAAAAAATTAATCTTTATTTATTTGGATAAGAATATAGAGCATATTAATTAATAATTAAGTAGATAATTTGGTTGTAATCATCTTGGGTTGTAATTAAGTAGTCAAACTTATTCTTCTATTATATAGAGATGCAATACAGACATAGAAACCATAAAAATAAGGGAAAATGACTTAAAAGCCTAACGAAGTTTTCAAACCGTTCAAAAAATCTCAATCATGTTTTGTCTGTTCAAAAAATCCCAACAAACTTAACATTTTATCTAAAAAGTCCAACTAAGTTACACTTTCCTGAAAACTTAGATAAGAGAAACGAATGACGTGGCTTATTACCGTATCGGAAAACTGACTTGTTAAACCAACGAAGTTTCCAAAAATGTTTAAAAAACTCCAATCATGTTTTGACTGTTAAAAAAAAAAGCCAACGAACTTAAACAAAACAAGATTGGGATTTTCTAAACGGTTTGGAACTTTGTTGGACTTTTTAGACAAAAGGTTAAGTGCGTTGGGTTTTTTTGAACAGACAAAATATGATTGGGGTTTTTTGAATAGTTTGGAAACTTCCTTGGGCTTTTAAGTCATTTTCCCTAAAAATAAACGTATGTAGTTTAAACGATAACTTATTGATCCTAGTTTCTGTAGGAAATTAAACGCTACATATTATTTTTAAACACCTTTTTATGATTATTATTGTTACTAAATTCTACTTTTTGTGGTTATTTGGAAATTGGCATGAGGAAACCTACCTAGCAAAGTATTCTTCATGTACAAAATACAAAGTTGCTTCGATCATTGATTAAAAAGCAAATTAAAGTTGCTTCGAAGCTAATGAGAGGTTAAATCGGACAATAGTTAGGCCAATTTTCTAGTATTAGAATGGACGTGATTGACATGACTATTCTTAGTATATATCTTGAGTATATGCTACGCATCCACAACTAACAACTTTTCCATGTATTACTCTTTTCTAGTCCTATAATGAACGTCATCGATCTTTAGTTTTAAACAAATATTCAATTTGCAATTATTTGTTTTCTTCTGAATTATTATAAGATATGGACCACATTAGTTAGTTCAAGTTTCATTATTAAAGATTATTTTATAAATTTATTTGCAATCAATTAAATACTTTTGTAAAATTTTATATATAAAGTTACTACGGTTGGAGTAATATATTCGACAGGCTCCAAGTTGAGTGACCTTGGTTTGTAGTTTGAACATATTTTAAAAACTTTTAGTCTAATGTCAAACCGATATTTGATCTTTCTGTAGGTAGTTGTGGACAAAAATATCAATAGTATGATATGTTGATTAAAACAACATAAACTTGATTATAATATTGTAGCTATCTCTATGAAAACATAATCATTTTCATGTCAATATTCCATAGAATTAGGATATTTATATAATTAGAGATCAATTACTCTCAATATAATGATGGATGATAAAGAACAAAAATGTGTTCTTAAATCCATCTTTCCTGTTATTTTTTATATGTATGAAATATTGGGTTGGTACTTGGTATATAAAGATATATGAATAATTGATAACCACTCTTTTCAAAAAGTATAACGTACAAATATTCCCTTCTCAAGTGAATTGGTTATCGATCTTGTCTCGAAAGAAGAAATATATATATATATATATATATATATCCATGTCCAGTCTTAATTTGTTGATGTTAATATATTGCTCCATTAATTTGTTTGAATAAAAATTTCATTTAACTTTTATTGTGTTTTGATAATTAAATAATTTTGTGAAAAATGGATCTGCAGGTGAATGGTACTTTATCTTACAATGATAAGATATCAGACGGGTTCTATAACATCCTGGGAATGGATCCGTATATGTGGATGATGTGCAGCAACTCTGAAGAAGGCAAACGCTTGCCATCTTTACTCTCACTCAAAGCTGTGAACCCAGGCACTACATCAATGGAGGTGCTTCTTGTCGATAGATATGGGGATTCACGCCTCAGAGACTTGGAAGATAGAGCACAAGAGCTCTATTTTTCTGCTGAAAACAATCTCATGTTGGCTGAAAAGCTTGGAAAACTTGTTGCTTCTACAATGGGGTATGTACTCAATTATTTTAGCTTAATTATAATTCTGCATCAACTAAAACCTTAATTTTTATGTATTAATATTGTAATTAAGGGGATCGTTTCCTATTGAGCAAGATGATCTCCATGCACGATGGGAATCGGCTAGCATGAGGCTGAGGGATCTTCAGAATGGCATTTTGGTCCCGATTGGAAGCTTGTCCATAGGACTGTGTAGACACAGAGCTATTCTTTTCAAGGTTAATTATATATGTTTTAAATTCAGTATGTATCATATGATGGATCTACCTATATATACCTATATATATATATATATATATATATATATATATATATATATATATATATATATATATATATATATATTGATTGAAATTAATATGGATGCATATGCAGAAACTGGCAGACTATGTGGGACTACCTTGTCGTATAGCTCGAGGCTGCAAGTATTGTGTTGAAGATCATAGATCCTCATGCCTTGTCAAAATTCAAGACGATAAATCCACAAGGTCTAATATCTAATTTCATTGTTTGTTTTTTTTTGTTAATGTATGTTAATTTTGTTTAATTATTATATAGGGAGTATGTAATGGATCTAATTGGGCAACCAGGAAACATGTATAATCCGGATTCATCAATAAATGGAGATATACTTTCTTCGGTGCCTTCACCATTTCAAAGCTCTCATTTGAAAGAAGTTGAACAAGTTTATGTGGACCGAGCATCCATTTGTCAAGTCAAGAGTAGGATAATTATTGTTATTGTTAATTAATATTAACATAAAAGTGTCCCCCTAAATATATTGTAATATTATATGATGAATCCATGTGGTAATTAATTAATGCATGCAGGCATTGAAGGAGGAGGTGGAGTGTGTGAGGAAGAAAGCGTAGTAGAATCAAAGGAAATGAGAGTTGATAGAAACTATAGAGTTTGTGAGATGATTGAAACGCCAAAAGCAGTGAAATACAGTAGTAGTGAGCAATTATCAGAAATTGATCAAGGCAAGAGTACAGTTAGAAGCAACAGTTTTCCTGTGACTGCTCCAAGGTACTTGACCCTTGAGCCATCTCTTGCAATGGACTGGCTGGAGATAGCTTGGGATGACTTGCATATCAAGGAACGTATTGGTGCTGGTAACCATTCACCATTACTTAATTACTACTCCAAACTCCAATTCAATTCAATTCAATTCAATTCAATTATATATATATATATATATATATATATATATATATATATATATATATATATAACTACTTTTAATTAATAATATAACATTGACAGACATGGGTAATGTTGGTTGTTTCAGGCTCTTTTGGGACAGTGCATCGCGCAGAGTGGCATGGATCGGTTGGTCTTTTTCTATAACCACAACACAATGCATGATTGATTATTAATTGTTTTTCTGAACCTAATTAATCAAACTCTTTTTTTTTATTGTATGTATGTAGGATGTGGCAGTTAAGGTATTAACTGTCCAGGACTTCCAGGATGATCAGTTGAAAGAGTTTCTGAGGGAGGTATATATAGTATAACTATAACAAGCATTATTTGTATATTTTAAATGTTTTTATATAAAAAAAACTATATTCTAAATTTGGTGTTGAATATTGGTTTGTTGTAAGGTTTCAATTATGAAACGAGTGCGGCATCCGAACGTGGTTCTGTTCATGGGTGCGGTGACTGTTCGCCCACATTTTTCAATTGTGACAGAGTACTTGCCTAGGTAGCCTAACTCCCTTTTCATTTTATATATATATATATATATATATATATATATATATATATATATATATATATATATATATATATATATATATATATATATATATATATATATATATATATAACTCAAAATCATATATGCATGGAAAGGTGCTTTTTGTTACCAATATATTATATATATATATATATATATATATATATATATATATATATATATATATATATATATAATTGATAATTGATGATGAAACATATTAATTACAGGGGTAGTCTATTTCGTCTTATACATCGGCCAACAGCTGGTGAAATTATGGATCAAAGGCGACGTATACGCATGGCTTTGGATGTGGTTGGTTACTTAATTTTTATTATTATGCATGAATCTTGAATTTCAACAATAATTAAAATAATTATCTCTATCTCGATCGGGTATTTGTTGTTGCAGGCAAAGGGCATCAATTATCTTCATTGTCTCAATCCTCCCATCGTTCACTGGGATCTCAAATCTCCAAACTTATTGGTCGATAAAAACTGGACTGTCAAGGTACTTACATTAATCCAACACTTAATTAATTTGTAACTAACCGTACGTTTTCTGTGACTGTATTTGACCCATATTATATGTATATAAATGTACGTATTTGTAGGTTTGTGATTTTGGGTTATCCAGATTTAAAGCAAATACTTTCATATCATCAAAATCTGTTGCTGGAACAGTAAGCTTCTGTAATTACAGTTTGTTAGTGGTTTCTTGTCCTGTCTGAAACAAACCGCATATATATAATTAACTGTTTGTTTTTTTTTTTTTTTTATTTATATCTATATCTATATATGCAATGATGACAGCCTGAATGGATGGCCCCTGAATTCCTGCGTGGTGAACCCTCGAATGAAAAATCTGATGTTTACAGTTTCGGTGTCATCTTATGGGAGCTCGTCACCATGCAGCAGCCATGGAACGGACTCAGCCCTGCTCAGGTCAGCTTAGTGATATCATAAATCATCCTTTTATTTATTATATAAGGGAAAAATCTTTTTTAAATTAAATTATATTATATTCAGGTTGTGGGAGCAGTGGCTTTCCAGAACAGGAAACTAACGATACCCATCAACACCCCTCCGGCATTAACTTCACTCATGGAATCATGCTGGGCTGAGTAAGATTTAACAACCCTTGCATGCCATGCCATCATCAATCTCATGCACCACTTGTTTTCTAAACTGCTTAATTAATTTTCTATGTCTTTCACAGTGATCCTGCTCAACGCCCAACTTTTAAGAGCATTGTTAACTCTTTAAAGAAGTTGCTCAAGTCTCCAGCACAAATGGGACCTCCATGAATTCACCACTACATTTACATTATCTTCTCTTCTCATCTTTCTTTCTTTGTTTTTTTTTTCCTAACATTCTCATACCAAATTACCTAAACCTGCAAATGGTTCTATAAACATCTAGATAAACTATCATAAATCGAAACATCCTCAAGGGGATCAACTAAAATATGTAAAACTTAGAAGGGCTAGCTTCAGGTTTATGGACCTAGCTAGCTAAGTAATCCATATAAGTTTCTTAATTACTTCTTAACAAATCAATTTGGGTATGATTCCTAGTAATGCATACATTTGAGAAACAACAATATTTAATTCTTATTTACTTTTAACAACTGCATGTTTGTTTCTAAATTGAATCAACAACATATATAGAAGGCTGTCTTTTTAGTCTTTACTAGAAAAATAGTTGCTAATGAAAGCGGGGAGTAGTTTTTAATTTAGAGTTTAATCGCTTCAACCAAAATGATTAATTCCACACACAAAGTAATAATGTAAATCAAAATAAGAGCACGGTATTTTATATATATGGTTTACACGATTAGAATGATTACAACAAATGAACACATCAAAAAGATTCTATATATTGATCCAATTGCTTACATGTTACAGTTTACATGAATTCAAGATATATATATATATATATATATATATATATATATATATATATATATATATATATATATATATATATATATATATATATATATATATTAGTTGACTTAAAAATATTGCCAATAACATCAAACTTGAAAACTCTAACAAATCTGACCATTACCTCAGTTGGTCATGCTCAGTTTAGTATCAAATCTGATAAATGCATCACATTCTTAGTCTCTCTAAAATGCTATGAAGTAAAAGGTAAATCATGCTCCACAACTTAATAATAATAGATTTGTTTGGTTAAAAAAATAAATCTTTTTTATTTAGTATAATTATAATCTCCAATCAACCAACTATTATTAATAGCACCCAAAATCATATAGTTATTTTGTTAAATATTAATCCATCAAAATTTAACCAAGCACATCCTACAAACCACATGAATATTATCATAAAGCCGCAAATTAACCGTTAGAAAATAAGGGATCAGAATAACAATAAAAACAAACTTGGATAGATTCAAGGATTGCGTTTATCAAACACCTTCTGAAATCTATAATTTGTCCCTTTTATTTGGGGTACACGAATTCAGAAGTGAGATAATCCAAAAATGAATCAATCTGAATTACAAGTCTAATTCAGATTGTGAAACACAAAATTTCTGTTAGTGTGTTCTTAAGAGATAGAACAAATCTTAAAATCAGATTTTGAGAGTATATGGTTTGTAACCTATTTTCTAGAACATGAAGAATGTTCTTATACCATAGGGAAAGTGGTTATCGTAATTGTCTCCAGATTTACCGCAAAAAACTGGTAGAGTTATTAGACATAACTAATGTTTGCATCATCAATATGTCATCAACTGAGTTTTGGCAGGAAAATGCATGGCTGGTGTCATACCCGATGTAAAAATTCGTTTAGGTTTCGGGGAGCAGCCCCTAAATCCCGTCAAGAGGTTGCAGCCCCTTGAAACCCTGCACCCAGGGACGTTGCCCCCTGACTCCCGTATTCCCAAGTTTATATTTATCACTCCGAGTGTGCACCCCGCACCTCCTAATTTGATTAGTAAATTGAGTTCGGTCTATCTCATTATTAATAACAGTTACACCAAAATATGTTAATAATACTAAAATCATCAACATTAACATCAATCATCTTCAATGTTTATGAGATTAAAGTTTATAGAGTAACAATCAAATGTAATCCACTTACCAAGTATTGTTTAGCTCGCCAACATAAGGAAAACAATGTATGATAAAAATTGGAAATGATTCAGTTTTAATAGGATAAATGGTTGCACAATTAATATGCACATTTTCTTCATAGGCATTAAAAATGATTGTATAATTATCCAATCTGAGCAATGACAATAGTACAGTTCTTTAAGAACCAAGATTGTTATGTTATTTCTAATATCCTAGAAAGTGAAGATAGTTTTTTTTTTTTTTTTGCCATCAATAAACCTCCGTCCACTTTCAATATATACATATATTTTTGACGTTGTGGAACTGGTTGGAGAAGTACGGAGCAATCCATATTGAAATTATATATCTAATTTATGCTACTTAATTTTTTTAATTTGGATAATCCATTTCTCCTTTCTTTCTTTTTTTTTTTAATTCTTATATGTTACCATTTTCCACATACAATAATTTCCTTGTATTTTTCGTATCACTCCCTTGTTGACTTTTTCATAGCTATCTACATCGGTAAGTCACCAATCATGGTAAAAGTGCTCATGGGGATATTATATATAGGCCAAAAAGAAATGGGTTTTTATTGAACATTCACAATGATAACCACCTTTGTCGGCGTTATTGAAAGAGCTTGATTTTGTTGGATGAATTAGGAGGCATGTTTTGAGAGCGAAAAATACTAGAAATGGGGTTGAAATTGGAATAGCACTTAGATAGGGAAATGTTGTGAAAATTATGTTGAACAAAGGGCCAAATTTACGATGCAATCAATAATGATGTTCACAAAAACTTTGCAAAACCTCATAATAAATGGGCTAAAGATTTGACATAGGGATCAACAAAGGAACCGACCCGGCTGGAACCGGTCCGAACCGGACTCGGCCCGGGAACCGAAGTCGACCGAAATTAAGAACCGTACCGGACCACCGTTTCAGGTTTCCGGTTCCTACCGGTTCTTGCCGTGTCTTTAATGTTGGAACCGATCATCGAGAAATAGCAACATATGGTTCCAGTTTTTACCGATTCTACCGGTTTCAGTTCCAAAATCCACAAGAATATCATCACGGTCCCATCCCGATCGGTTCTATCCAGTTCCGGTTTCGATACCGGTTCTGGTTCCGACCGATTTCCCGGTCCAAATGCTCATCCCTAATTTGACATAAAATAAGTTCAAGAACTTTATGAATTGCGCGATAAATCACAAAATCACTTTTGAACAAAAAGGTTAGTTCACTAATTCAGATCATAAGGCTATTTTCATGAACTAAATGATTGTTTTATAATATAAGCTGCAAATATGGCCATTTAATAAATAATATTATTAAAAAAATAAAGAAAAAAAAAAACTCATGTGAGTATTTAACAAAAAAAACACTATAGCCATATAATGTAAAGATAAAATGATCAAAAATTAAATGTAATGAACTACAAATGCAAAGAAAAACAACAAATGGAAGGGAGTAATCCAGGAACAAAATCTGATTGCATGTGATGCCAATGGGGTCAATATTCAAGTAATCGTTAGAAATTACAAAATACCAAAATACAAGATTTTATATATTTCAAGCTCCAAAAAGAACATACACCCAATGAATTACATCATGACTACTAAATAACTCAAAATCTCCCTCAACTCATGTCATCACACGCAACCAAAACGTTTTCCCCATTTGACTGTAGATCTTTGACTTGTTCATTCCCGACAAAAACACTTTCTCCATTTGCTTTCAACTCTTTGACTTGTTCATTCACAACCAAAACACTTTCACCATTCGAATCCAAATCTTTGACTTTGACCTCATTCTTACTACAAGGATCACCGTCCGTTTTCACCAACCCATCATCATCATCGCCACCTGGCGTTCTAGCTTTCTTCTTTCGTCGCTGCCTAACAAATTTACTTTTTTTCCTTTTTTTCATTTTCACTTTGCCCTCCGTCTCCACAACCACCTGCTCAGGTTCCTTTCGTTTAGTGGGGACCACCGTATATAATGTAGTATCCGTATCCGTATCCACCGGGTCGGATTGCCAATTGGATTCTGGCCCACTCATCTTTATAGCCAACAAAGCGATTTTTGCAGCTTTAAGTTCTGCTTCCTTTTTTGTCTTTGCTGCTGTACCAATGTATTTGATTCCACCTATGTCAACAGTGCAATAAAACGGGGATTCCCTCCCCTTTTTTTCATCTTTCGTGCATATGTATGATGGGATCGCATAGTTCATCTTTTGTGCATATTCTTGAAGTAGATTTTTGCATAACCCGGTTTCATGCTATTAAAAAAAAAGAGGAATTATATATCAATCAATTATGAGTTAGGAAAGTTTTAATAAAAAAAAAAGATTATAGTTACCACAGGATGAGACACGCTTTTATCTGTAGCACCAGATTTTGCGATTTCAATGAGAGCAACTTCAGCAGCAGATTGTTCAGCAGCTTTTCGGTTTAGAAATCCAGTCAAAGAATAATAACTTTCATCATTTAGGACAACAGATGACCTGAATAATGGCTGGTGTGAAGGGCCTTCTTTAATGGTATGATAAATAGGTGTGGTGAGTCCTGCTTTTTGAGCATACTCTTGCAACCGACTTTTGAATACATAGCAATTTGATACACCTGTAACAACTCCATTTTTACCACTCTTAACACTTGTATAATGCTATATGTTAATATCGATAGATAGACAGAGAAAAATAATAATGTTCATCAGAGCACTTGCTACAAGAAGGAAAAAAACAGGGTGGGTATTACAAATGAATGCACCAGCAAAGAAAAGGGTCAAAAAGTATCTACAACTGTTTGCCTATCACTCAATGCACAACCAACAAATGTATACACAATCACCAAGTTTACAAGAATCCACCTATTTTTTTCAATGACTTTTAGTTTGAATGATGTTGTTGCTTGTTAGTTGTTACTCTCTCGTGTCTCTTGGTTTCCTGACCATACATATCTCCCACTTTCCTCTTCTTTGCCTTTAATATATAATTATAATTAACCCTTCTTTCCAGTTTGTAGATTATTAGGTATGATTTAAGAAATCAATATTTACTCAACAAGATATCATTGTGAATGATAGGCTGTCATACAAAGGATATATGTAACAAAAGGTGCCAATCAGATGCCAAAGAATATTTTCAGTTGGTCCATTCAATATAAGCCACATAAAGGGGAATCTTTTGTTACCATGGAAGCACCAACTAGCTCCACTACCATGGGCATCCACAATGCAAGTTGTATAGGAGTTGAATAAGGTGGTGACTAGGATTGCATAGGTGTTTAATGGAATGTGGGTGATGACATGAAGAGGAGTTGCATGAGCATTCAAAAGTTCAATAGATATAATAAAGAGATGATTATGATTGAATAGGTGTTTAACGGGTTGTGGGAGGTAAAACTGTAAAAGTAAATTTGTATACGAATTTAATGGATGAAGTGGAAATCCATAGAATTCTAATAGAGTTCAATGGATTGTAGATGACAGGTCTCCACAGCTACTTAATACCCCAAGACCCCTAATATGTTCATGATACTCTATCTCTTACTGTTTTTCACAGATAATAAAAATTCAAAATACTTTGGAGCGACATCACTAACTTCATATTTAAGCTACAACATATTCAAAATAAAAAACTTAATGCTTCATGGACAAAATTTATACTCAAAGAGCATGAATAATAAATTGGTTCAGAAACCAATGCACCATAACAAGAATCAGTAAGGACCACAATGAAGAAATGAGTACTTACTCTGAAGTTGCTCGTCCATGTACCTGTTATTCCAATTGGAAAAAGAAAACAAAAAAATAGGATTTCAATCAGACATTCAGAAACTTGATACACAGCTGAAGTAAGAAACGGAAATTGACCAGAGATGGTTACAAATGAATCCAACGAAGGAATTAGAGCTTACTTCTTGAGATCTAGAGGTTTGACCTGATTTGTTCAGGCGAAACCCTAGGGAAACGGAGTCAGCGAACAAGCACAGAAAGATGATGACAGAGAGCGAGATTGATATGAAATTTGGGGAGGTTTATCGCGCGAATAAACCCTACCTATTAATGCACTGCACCAGTGCACAGGCTGATTTTTTTTCTTTTGCTTTTCGATATATCCGAATCCGAATATCCGACTTCTAATTTCGGGTACCTATTGAAATTTTGCCGGATAATATTTCCTTTTATAATGAACAATGTAATTAAATATTTGGCAAATTTCAACATTTTCTTTTTAAGATAAATTAAATACAATGTTTTAAAATTTGGTTTGAACCGAAATTAGGAACGTCGGTTTTATATCAATTTTTAGATTGGATCCAACCGGATGGCTTCTTCATAAACCTGGTTAAACAGTAGAAACTTTTTCGAACCGGTTTATTAGATTTGGATAGTTGGATTTCACTTTACTAGTTACAAAAAGACAAAATTGCAAGAATGGTCCCTGTGGTTAGGTGGAAATTGTCACTTTGGACCAAAAAGGTTTGGGTTAGCATTGATGGTCCATAGGTTTGCATTTTGTTGCCACTTTGGTCCAAAACCTTAACTGTCGTCACTTTTCCCCATTACCATCCATTTGACTTGTCAAATGGAGGGTATTTTCATCATTTCATTCCCTATTTTACTCTCTATATTTAATTAATAAATTCCTCTTCCTATAAGATCGATCGATGATACTGCTGTTCTCAAGCTTTAATCCCCTCGTTCTCGTCTTCTTCACAAGCCCTAACACATCACTATTCACAATTTCCCTATGAAGAAATTAACAATGGTGTTGTGTTTCTGTGGTAAAATGGCTATTGTTCGCACTTCGTGGACCGACAAAAACCCAGGTCGCCGTTTCTGGGGATGCCCGACTGAGGTAAGCAAATGGATTTTGTATTTGCATCATTGTTGTCGCATTACATGTTAAGAACATGTGTTGTCTTTTTTTTTAAGGGATCGAAGTGTCGCTTTATTGGGTGGTATGATGGTCTAATGTGTGAACGTTCAAAAGCCATCATACCTGGATTGCTGAGGACAATAAACAAAGTGAAGGCTCAGACCACAAGACTCAAAATTTACCTGTTATGTAGTTGGATTTTCTTTGTGTGTGTTCTATTTTACAAGTAGCTTGAGAATTTAATAGTTTGGGTATGTAGTTTTTTGTTGAAGATGTAAGCTGTGAGCAGTGTAATATTTTGGTAAGTTGTATGAAAGTAGTATTTTGTTCAAGATGTAAGCAATGTAATCCATGTAAGACATGTTTTGCAACAAAATATCAATGGAAATTATATTTGGTATCTATATGTTGACCATTCCATTTATGTATGCAATTAACAACTAATTTAAACATTGTAAAATATGCAATTAACAACAAATTAAACATACCATAAACCATAACATCCAATTGTATGATTTAAACATTGTAAAGTATGCAATTAACATCAAGTTAAACATATCATAAACCATACCATTAAATTTCTGATATGTTTTTCCCATAAATCAAAAGACATACAATTTTTAGTAACATACTATCAAGTACCAAAAAGAACATCAATGTATCTTCCACACCAAAAGACATCAAGTACATAACATACAATAAACATAAGCAGTTGACATGTAAAACCCAAAAGACATCAAACTAGCTTCAAACCCCTTAAATTTCCTACTTGGCCCTTGCAAGTTCTAGCATTGTGCCCTTTATTTTTACACTTGCTACAAGTCACACTAATAAACTTCCTTGTTAACTTCCCACTCCCACTTGCAGCATGAGTTTGACTCCCACTAGCACCATTACCATTCTTTCCCTTCTTCTGGATTCTCTCCCCTGCAGATTGCCTTCTCTTTTTCTTGGGTCTCCCAGGCTGATTATGGTGCAGAGGAGGGGTGATTTTAATTGGGCAATCACTTATAGGCCACATTGCTCTCCCTTTAATAGGCTCTACCTTATGAACATAAGCTGTTTTCCAAGTTTCTAGCCAATGCACCCTGCAGATTGCCTTCTCTTTTTCTTAGGTCTCCCAGGCTGATTATGGTGCAGAGGAGGGGTGATTTTAATTGGGCAATCACTTATAGGCCACATTGCTCTCCCTTTAATAGGCTCTACCTTATGAACATAAGCTGTTTTCCAAGTTTCTAGCCAATGCACCCTGTGAACATAAGTGTGTAACTCTCCAATCTTTTCACCATTATCTGCTTTATCATTTAGGACAGCTATGACATGTTTACAAGGGAGGCCAGTTAATTCCCACTTCCTGCAGCTGCATACCCTTTCTGCCATGTCAACAACTTGTTGATCCTGCCATGGCCCTTTCACTTGGTATTTGTCTGAACCATTCCACCTAGTTGTGTACTGAGATGCCAAATAGACCATTTTGTCCATAATCTTTGTTGCATAAGGAGTTAGAGGCCCTACACACTTATTTTGCACCTTGATGACATTACAGATTCTTTTCATCATGTATTCCCTGATGTACTCCAAGCAAGTTATTATTGGCTTATCCCTTCCTTCAACCAATTTGCTGTTGAAAACTTCACAAAGATTATTTAAAAGCATATCTGATATTGCTCTCCCTGAAATGTTGTCAAAAAAAAAAGTAAATAGTAAGTAAGACAGTGTACTAACAAAGTAATACACCTCAGGGGAAAATTTGGAAATTACCTGTGAAGTGGCTTCTTGCCCAGTGTTGTGGGGGGATCTGCTTCAACCAATTATATGCATCCTTGTCAAATAAGTCGAATTCATTAATTAAGTGGTTGAACTCTTGGATTGTTGTTGTTGTGGCACAATTCCACAAGTGTTCTTTGTGTTCATTGGATCTCCCTGTTCTCTTCATATTATCATGTGTATGCCTGAGACAATATCTGTGCTCAGCCCATGGAAACAACTGAGCAATGGCTGCCTGTAAACCCTATAAGGAAATAAAACATAGTTAGTATATTTCATGCAAATACAGTACATTTAAGATACTAATTACATACCTTTTGTCTATCACTTATGAGTGTGAAGTTTGAGTTTGCGTATAGGTCTAGGTCATCTCCTAAAATCTCAAGAAACCATTTCCAGCTTTGAGTATTCTCAGACTCAACAATGGCATAAGCTAGGGGGTATATTCCATTGTTTGAGTCTACCCTAACTGCAGTCAATATCTGTCCTGGGAAAGGGCCCTTCATAAATGCCCCATCAAAACCAAGAAAATCCCTCAGGCAAGCTCTAAAACCTTTCTTCATTCCACCCAGACACACATAAATTCTTTTAAATCTTCTTGAGGTGGCATTGGAGTTGGGTTCAGACTCAAATTCTAACTTCACAGTTGTATCTGGATTGGTAGACTGTAGCTCTAAGATATAATCTCTGAGAACCTCATATTGTTTTCTGTAATCCCCTTGCACTTATTTTTTTTGCATTAGATTTAGCCCTGAAAATCTGATGTATAGAGAAACCCACTTGATATTCCTTTTGCAGTTGCTCTTTTAAAGCTTCCACAGGGATTTTTGGGTTTAATTCAACCTGATCCATTATTTGCTTCCCAATGAACTTTGCAGTTGTAGATCTTACTTTTCTTGTATGCAAGCATCTGTGTTCGTGGTTATATGTTTTAATCATCCAACTACCATCTTTATTTGATCTAGAACCTTGTATCACCCAAGGACAAGGGGTAGGTTCACCAACATCACCCTCATTAAAGGCTACAGTCCCTTTGCATAAAGCTCTTAACCTTGTTTTGTCGTTTTTCTTGAAGAATATATTCCTGGTTTCCAATGCATGCAATTGTATTTTTTCCTTTAACTCCTTTTTACTTTTATATTTTTGTCCTATCCTAAAAGTAACTTTATGTATCTCCCCTTGAGAGCACCTTGTCTCCTTCCCTAATTCTTTTAATAAAACTCTCATTTTCCTTTCCATATCAGAACCCTCATCCATTGAATCCCATCGGTCATTATCAATTACATCCAAATCTTCAGGGTCTTTAGGGTCTTCATCACTATCATTATGCATGGGATTTGTTACTCTCTTTTCCATAAATTCAGCTTCCAGATCAACACTCATGTAAAAATCCTTCATATCTACCTCTACTTCAGAAATTATGTTATCCTCATCTACCCAAAAGTCACTATCATCACTATCCTCCTACCCATCACTTCTTTCATCACTATCATCCTCCAAATCACTTCTTTCACCATTATCCTCCTCCCCATCACTTCTTTCATCCTCAGCTACATTATGAGTAACGTCATCTTCAACTCCAGTGTCCATCTGATAACCCACATATCTACTTCATCTTCAACTCCAGCATCCATCTGATAACCCCCCATATCTACATCATCTTCAACTCTAGCATCCTTCTCATAATTCCTCATATCTACATTAACACTAACTTCATTAACTACCTCCTCCCCTTCATCCCCTTCCTTCTCTTCATTGAATCCATTATCAAATTCAGAATTGGATTCTAAAATCTGTTGGTACAATCCAAGATCAAATTCATTAGCTGCCTCATCAAAATCATTAGGTGCATGATCCTTATCCCCATCTACATTAGCTTCACTAACATCACCCATGGCTAATTTCTTATTGCATGATGAAAAAAAAAATTTCCTTGGTCCAACTCCTTTTCCTATTATACTTAGGGGATAATGAGAAAGCACCTTTATTATGTAAAACAGGGGATATTGACAAAGCACCTTCATTATGTAAAACAGGGGATAGTGATAAAGATTTGTCCTTGGTCCAACTCATTTTCCTATCACTAGCTTGGTTATCAGTTGTGGTGGTTTCATGTTCCTCAATTTCATCTAATTGCTTAATAGTGACCTTTTTAACAGGTTTAGGAGCCATAAAGTAAGTAAGCAATTTTGTAAAACTGTGTTCAGTGTACACCCTTATGACTTTATGCTCCTTCACATAGTGGGTAAGATTACGAACATCATCATCGTTTCCTAGGGCACGTAGTCCAAAATGCATGTCTCCTTTGGGCAACCGAAAATGATAATAGATAACTGGGGGAACTGAGTATCCTAACCCTTTCATGATGGCATCCATTTCATGAACGGAAAACTCTTCTATATCGACCATGTCAACATATGTCACAGTTCCATCAATGTAGTTCACATCTGGAAACTTTGTGAACTCTCCCCCATGATGTAGCTTGATGGTAAACAGAGTAGGGTATCCATCTTCAAAACAAGAACAAAAAAGAAGTTTCAGATGAGAGGATTTCACATAAAAAGGCAACTTAGTGAGAAAAATAAAAATTGCGTACCATAAACCACCCTTGCGTTGAATGCTTTCTCATACAACCTTACATTCCACATTGGAACTTGCATTAACTGATCAACTCACTTGATCGAAGCGCACAAGCTGGAAATGGGTTTAGGGTTCTTGATCCTGAGTTAATGAAAATCGAAGAGGAAACGACTATCTATGTAATTAAGACTATAAATGTGAGTATGATCGACGCTTTTATCCGTATGATGGTAACGGATGGATACGTAAAAGGAATTTATTAATTAAATATAGGGAGTAAAATAGGGAATGGAATGACGAAAATACCCTCCATTTGACAAGTCAAATGGATGGTAACGGGGAAAAGTGACGGCAGTTAAGGTTTTGGACCCAAGTGGCAACAAAATGCAAACCTATGGACCATCAATGCTAGCCCAAACCTTTTTGGCCCAAAGTGGCAATTTCCACCTAACCACAGGAACCATTCTTGCAATTTTGTCTTACAAAAACAACTCATTTCCAAAACAAATTAAACAACTCGATCTATTAGTTTAACCGAAATATACACAACTCGAAGGCCGGAACGCACCACTGCCAAATATAGGAAATTTTTTTCTTTTATATATGTATGTATGTAGAAAAATAGAAAATATATAAACTTATGAAATTCGGATTGAACGGTCACTTGACCGTTCAACTAAAAAACTAGTTTTTAAAACATTGATTAAATACATTTCATTCTTATAAATTGTATAGCCTTTTTCGGTGTTTCTATATACTTCAGAGAAGAAAAAAAAACTTTTTTAAATACATGTTTTTTTGTTAAATCCTATAAAAGAGTGTTTCTTTTTTTCAATTTTCTTATGAAAAATCCATATCATATCAAAACAAACCAACTTCTCAATCAATTATTTGTTGTTTCCTATAATTTATCTTAGTTTGTAGGGACCGGTGATATGCCTTGTGAGCCACTTTAGTTTTGTCATGGATTTTTCATATCAATGGAGTGGTGCCATCTGCCATGAGAGACATGCAAAAAATGAGAGCAAAGAAAAGAGAGAGAAAACAACAATGGAGTACTGAGGCTCGGTACCACAACCTCATGCCAAGAAAAAAGGGGTGATGTTTGCCATATAAGGCAAGCTCCACCTCAACCTTGGCAAGCTTCATATTACTCTTGTCAAGCTTCAGTCCCTTTATCCTTATTGGAAAACGAAAATTGTTAGATGCATTTTTATGCATCATTTTTTACATTTTAAACCCATTTTTTCACATTTCATGCATTATGTACGGGCATTTTGCATCTTATTGCATTTTTTATATTTTATGAGGTTGGTCTTGATTTCTTGGTGGATCTTTAAGTTGTGTTACAGGTTTAGAGCAGGTTGAGAGCTTAACAGAAGAGTGCGGAACAATCTTTGTAACACATGTTCCAAGTATTACTTGATTTATTTAATATTTAGGGTTTTGGGTGTGGACTCGATGAGTTGGGAGTCCAACTCATCGAGTAGAGGAATTATTTATGGACGCAAGATCAGGACCTACTCGATGAGTCGGAAGGCCCGCCTCGGCGAGTAGGAGTTGTAAAGAGAAAATCCTAATTTAAGGATTTGCACCCTATATAAGGATCTGCCCCTTGTGGACTCCCTTAGCACCTTACTACCCAAAGAAAATCTTTTTCGGCTATAAACTTCCTTGAGTGAGAGTAAGAGCTTGGTTGAGCAACTTTGGTGTGTTGGAGAAGGGATTTGGAAGAAGTAACAAGAAGGGAAGTAGTAGATCCGGCATCAACATTGCATTGGCCACCACTTTGAGGTAAAAAGTCGTTACCTTGAGCTGTAGATTTTTAGATCTCTTCTCCTTCAAGTATATGACCATTTTCGAGCAAAATGAAGTCCAAACTTAGATTTGAACCTATCATAAGGATATGATTCCAGATCTGGACCCCTTTAGGTCCCCAATGACATAATGTTGCTCGCTTTGTGTAGTCTAGCCACTTTCCATGTATAAAAACCTTGTTAAGAGCTTAGTTTTGAAGGTATAGCCTTAGGAGACCTTGCATGCACGTAAAGTTTGCAACTTTACGTGGTATCTGCAATAAGAGAGCTTGGATCTGGAGTTTGGGGCCTTAGATCCCACTGAAAAGGTCCGAACATGAGAGGACTGAAGGAACTTGTCGAGTTCCTTATCTGACTCGGCGAGTCGAGAAGGTTTTTCCCCATTTTCGGGATTCAAGGTGCTTTCGGTTGGGAACTGGGTTTTTGGGGATATGAGTTTTCGGCCTGAGTAGGGTTTTCGGTTGGATTATGAGATCAAAGACATTTAATGATAGGATAAATCAATCACATACGACCAGATACACCTTCTTTCTTCCTGAACTTATATTACTAAACTTTTATTCTTACCTGATGTATTTTAAATCTACTAAAAGTTCCAAAAAGATTCACAAGTCTCTCATTTATGTTGATGATATATGGCATCAGGAATAGAGAAGCCACTCATCACAAGAAGGATGATAAGCTTTACGGTAATTCCTACAGAAAAAAAAAACCCACCAACATTACATTAAACAAATCAATCCAATTAATTCAAACTCTATAATCCAAATGAATCATCAATTACCATACTCACCGTTAAATGAAATTCAGATCCTCCTGTCAAAAATGAAACTACAACATCATCTATAGCAAGCTCAAGTGGGGACTGAATCTCCTTTCAAATTGTAGAGAAGAGGGCGGAGATGGAGGAAGGATCATTGCAAATGTGTGCGAAGCATCGATTGCGGCGCCTGTGACGATGAGCGTTGGAGTGGTGGCGGGTTGGATCGTAAGTTAGGTTAGAGAGAGAGAGAGAGAGAGAGATATATATATGGATTCTGGTGGGTGTTTGTTGTCGGAAAATCGATATGATCGAAGAGAGACAGTGGAGATGGCGGTCAAATGTGACGATGGTGTGGGAGTAATGAGGATGAAATCAGTGCTGACAACTCTCCGATTAGGGTTTATAGGTATTGGATTGAGAGAAAATGTGATGTTCCAAAGAAATTTGGAGAAATGATATTATTGTTTAAATGAAACGTATACCTTGATTTTTTTAGTTTATTAGAAGGATTATTAAACAATATAAGCATTACAAGTGTTATGTGTAAACAATAAGCATAAAATGTTTGTGAATGGTGTATTATGTTTTGTACCTCTTAATATTCAAGAAATTTAGAATATGCTTTATATAATAGTAAAGACATATATATTCCAGAGTCGTGTAGCGTATTTCACTACATGACATGTCTATTTGAGGACTCTAAATGCCCACTCTATATCTTTTCTAGTAGATTCCTATATTTATGTGAACAACTTTGCCTTTTACCGAATATGCTTTCATAAAAGCAGAATAATCTGGGTATATCTCATTCCAGAGGTAGTAACCATATTTGTACAAATGTTCGTTCACCATAAACAACATATCATATACTTTGTCGGTTCAGATATCGTTGAAAATAAAGGATTGACTAAAAACATTACAGTCATTGTTAGACCCTGCAACTCCAAAGAACGAATGTCATATCCACAAATCCTGAGATGCAACAGCTTTTAGTATTATAGTCGTTTGACCTATATCACCTTGAGTAAGTTGACCGCGCCATGCAGTTGGACATATTTCCCATGCAACATGTATACAATCAAGGCTACCAATCATTCATGGAAATCCATGCATCTCTTCATGTGCCAAATATAATCTCTCAGTATCATGTGTTATGGTTTGTGCAAATATTCTTCGTGATAAACATCATGCAGACATGCGCAAAAAAAATGTACTCAATCACGGTCGTCTATGATATGTTCAAGTACTCGTCTGATGCATTATATTGTATCCTAAATATCTAAGCGTAGTCGAACATTTTTGTAAGCTAGTAAAGCCCATTCTACCTCTAGAATCGGGTTTTTGCTTAAAAAAATCACATGGCACCTCAAAAGCATTACTAATATGTAGAAGTAATGCCTTATTCAAATGGAAATGATGTTCGAATGCTACATCATTATAAAGACAGTTATTGGCAAAGTAATCGCATACCAATAATTCATGTGTGGCTTTGTGATCTCGATTGACAACCGCTCTTATATGTGAAACATCTTTACGTTCTTCATTGTCTATGTATTGTACAACATTGAAGAGTGTCGAGATAAATTCTCCATCGTCATCCGACTCAAATTTGTAAAAAACATCCACAAATATGATATTATTTTCAAGAGTATAAAGAGATGAACGGTTTGAAAATATGGGAAGATGTGTCTATACAGGTAAAGTTTATTTATTAAAAAAACACATATTGACCGTTGGAAACGGTCCAAGCATTTGATTGATCGTCCTCCCCACCACAACCGACGACAACAATGCCCAAGCGTGAACCGACGAGATAGTGTGTACGGTCGTGGTTCATGACCATGTAGACCACTGAGTCCTTTTGTGATGACCATACTGCTGGATGCTCTAGTAATGGTTATACATCAACGAAAAAATTCAAAAAAAAAAAATTAAAAGAAAAATGACAGATTCATAAAGCGAGTGATATGCACAAAACAATCCACTCCAGTGTAAAACAAAATCTTGTATGAATTTTCACTATCCACACATGGCGTGCGTGTGTGTGCAATGCTTCTAGTGTGTAGTCCGTGTTTAAAGAACATACATAAATCCAACAACTCTTTATTTCAGAAACTGATATTTGAATCTGAATATGGATAACAAGTTTTTGGTATAAAATAATATATTTTTAGTGAGTAAATCTAGACCAAAATTGTATTTGAAATGAAGCTCAAGATTTCCCTAATTAATCCAAACTTTTAATTAAGACTATAGTAATGGCGGGCAGGGGTTTGTGTTTGTATCTAAGTATGTATCTGTGTCTATGATGCTGATATCCCTGTAGCTTCTTCTGGTATGAGGAAGAGGAAAAACACGGGGAAAAATGTGCAAAAGACCTGAATAGCTATCCCGAGACTAAGGTTATCAAAAGAGCCTGAAGAGATGTTGAGAAAGGAAGCTAAACCCGCACCAAGAAAGGACCCGATTGTGGACCCCAGGTTGTTTATCGACATGAAGA